ATGCTCGAACTAAACCATTATCATGATCAAGTTCTGTAGGATCTTGAACAATATCAACTGCTTTAACAACAGCATCAAATGAAACACGTTGACGATGTTTTAATTCAGCTGGTGTTTGATCATGTTCAAATTCTTCATTAGCTTTTTTCAATCGTTCTTGAATAATAATACTATAATCATAACCATTACCATCATCATATGAAATATCATCTATAATAAAATATTGTTAGTAGATTTCTCAATTTTTTTTTATTCATCGAAAAGATGAATATTGAATTTTAAACAATCTATAAGTGGTAACAATTTCGATTAAGTATTTGAAAGTTGCCACGTTAGTTTTTACATTAGATAAAAATTCTGAAATCAAATAGAATATTACTCATCAAATATAATGTTTTATGCTCAATTAAAAGCATTTTATGTACTATAAAGATCATTTAAATAACACAAAAAGCAATTCTCTATGTAAGTTTCTTATAGATTAAAACGTACACACATAAAATATTTTTTTTTTCATTTAGATCTGTTGCCTAGTAACTATACGCAACAATTTTAATATTTTTGAAAAAAAAGTCTTAAAACTTACAATCATCAATATCATTTTCATCTTGACCAAAAACATCACATTCATAAGATGGACGATCAAGTTGAGATAAATCTTCAGCTGAATTTGATAATGTACTTTGGTCAAATAAATCCATATTAGCATATTGTCGTTTCAAGGTAAGTATATCCATATCTGATTCAAATTATAATACTATTACAAAAATCAAAAGTTTAAAAATATATGTCATTTACCATCTAAACAATGACCATGTCGTGGTACAGTTGTATTTGTATTAGCTGTAAAAAAGCCATGATTTTGTCTTGATAATGTCGGATTATTTGACATTCGAAAAATAGCTGATGATGGTGGTATTGATCGATCATAAGATGAAAATGTACTTGTAATCGTAGCCATGGTCATTTATAACAGAATTATACTTTTGATCTTTAAATACTGCATATCTACATATAAACAACGTAGAAATAAATTGCTAATAGAAAAGTTTACAAAACAATTCTTTGTAGAAAAGAAAAAAAAGTGGCATAAAACAAAATAATCATAAGGTTTCTATTCTGAAACAACTTCATAACAACAATTTAATACACATTGAAATTTTGATAGTCTCTTTTTTTTAAACTATATTTATGTTTATTGAATATTACTTTTTGAAAGAAAATGTATTCTATTTAATTATAAAATATATAGAGAAAAATCTTTTACAGATGTCACTTTAACTGTTGCTTAGTAAACCTTCGAAATCGATTCAATCGAATGGTTTACTTTTGAATAATTAAGAAGGAAAAAGGGAAGGAATGTCAACAAAACTAATAATAGAACGACAATTAACATCTATACATAGAAATAATTATATTGATCAATAATGAAGAAATAAATAGCATGAAATATTCTTGATTTCTGAATTGCTTACAAATGTAAGAAAGAAAAGATATGAATATAAGACTTTTTTGCTTTAATATACACAACACGTAAAACTATAGATCTAATGTAAGAATTATAATGCTAATTAGATGATTCAGATAGTTAACTGGATGACGTTATGAAGAATCAATTCTTCAGAAAAAAATTTTATATCTGTCATCTTAAATAAACTTCATATTTAAAAACTTGAGAGATCAAAAAGAGTTTGACATTTAGTTGAAGAATGATATTAAAAAAATTTAAATATCACATATGAAAAATAGAATACAATATGCTGTTCTGACATTGGTTTTTTCTATAAGTACTATACTATAAGTGAAAAGTTCTGTGAACCGGCCATAATCATCAAAAGAGAGCACATAGGAACAAATTCTTCTAGGGCTGTTTCTAGTCTCAATAGAGCCAACCTAATGATAGATGTTGTATTTCAAATTCGAGATGTCATACGAAGATGTTGATTACTGGTGTTTTTGACCTGACCTCAGCACATCTCATAGGTTAAGTAAGTTTTCTTTTCAATCCGTAGGCTAATTTGTTGGTTAATAGAAATTTTATTAGTAAAAATTTTTAGTTACAAATTCATTAGTTTTTCTTTTATTCATACATTCATTTTTTAATTATTGATACAACTAAGACTTCAAAATCACAATATTATCTTTTATTTTTGAACATATACATAAATATTAGAAAACTTCAATTAAATCTTAACGACAAAAAATAGTAAAGCAAAAGTAAAAGTATAAGCTCACATATATCTACTATTAACATCGTAGATACAACTTCAAACTAAAATAATAATGATGATACAAGCGTCAAAAGAATCTGAAACTAATTAGGTTACACATCTCGCATTTCAATTATTTAGATGAAACAAACTAATAACATATCATTTGATAAATTTACGAGAGAACCTCTTCAGCTCTCCTCTTCCAATTTCAATGATATTTTGCCTATAGATTCTACATAGTACTCTAATAAAAATCCTAACAAAATTCGGATTTCTAGTCATATGTGGTTAAGCTATCGAATTTTTATTTTGTCTGTTTTCTTACGAGCTCAAGATCTTTAGAAAAGTCGTATTTTCGAATTTCGTTTTGAAAATTTATGCATACAGAGAAGTCAATTAGACTAGTTTCCATGAAAATATTCACAAGTTTTGAACAAAATTCTTTTGCAACATGATCTTCCCAAGAAGGCATACAGGGTACAGTTATTCAGAGCAAAATGTGTATGCCTTGAAAATTTCATATCTCCGACAGATTTTGTTCTAAACCTCTAAATTTTTTTTTCTAGAAACTAATCTAGTTAAGTTCTCTATATGCCCAAAGTTTCAGAATCAAAATTCGGTAGCTTAGTCTAATCAAAATAGGAATCGAAATTCGTTCAGGATTTTTGTTAGAACACTATTTAGTATCTATAGACAAAAAAAAAGAGATGTAGATGTGAGTTTGTTTTTCGATGCTTGCACGAGAAGACGTAAACCCAAAGTATTTTTATATATGAACATGCTTCAAAACAAGCAAATAAATGACTGCAACGAAGATGTAGTGACAATAAATGATTGAAAGAATCTAGATGATGAAGAGCGAAAGAAATAGTAAAAGCAAATAAATTAGTAGGAGGAACCAATAAATAGCATGACTAGTGAACATTACTTTATGAACAATGAAAGGATGAACAATGAAGAGCAATAATTGTGAACAAATTGAGCCCACAGATATACATAAACATATCAATTGACCTCTAAAACTCGTAAATCGTGAAAGTACCTAGTTCATGAATTTTCTAGGTCAAATCTGCGCATGGGTCATGAGTCAGTTCGTCAACATCTCTAGTACCACTTGAGATAATTCTTTTATCCTTGTCTTTGTATACTCTATAGTTCGTACAATATTACAATAATATTTTTTTATTGATTAGTAATCTAACACAAGTGTAATGACTTGTAGAAATTCTTTTGTCTGATAAAACAATAGATTCACATAATACAATGTCTTCGGTTGCATTATTTCTGCTAGTCGAACACTTAGTAACCAATCAATATTGTGATTAAGAAGAGAAATAATAATAATAATCATCTAAACAATGATAATTTATTTTTTTCCTGATAAAGCATTATTGAAAAAAATAACAAAAAGAGAACCAATGAAAAATTACAGGTCGTTTTGCTCTTTCTTAAAATATATATTTTGTAAAATGTACGTCTTTTTGTTGATAATATACTAATTATTTGTTTATAAAGAAACAAAAAGAAAAAAAACGCAATTTTCCTTTCATAAAAACATGACACTACTGTCAAGGGAATACAAACGTCTTTTGATCAAGTATTTTTCTATCTATTCAAGGTTCTCTCATTTGTGCATAAGAAGAGATACATATAAGAGAATATCGAAAATTATATAAATATATCGTAATTGCTGATATTAATGGTCATTTATATCAATCAATAAGAATAATAAAAAACATCCTCTTTCTCAGGTCAGTATTTTTGAATTTTGCTTTTATTTAAAATACTAAAAATAGCATAAATATCAACTTATAGGATTAAAATTCAAGAAAGATTAATTATTAACTGGAATCTTTTCTGGTCGACTTGTTCAAGTCTGCATTAGATAAATTTTTAATAGAAAAGAAAATGGAAATGTTAATTTATTTTTTCTAATTATCTTTATTTTTTTAAGTCTAGAATATTTACATATGATGATAAAGTACCGAGATAAAATGCAGTACATGATCAAGAGTCTTGATAAAATATTTTTTGTCTGTTGTTAAAACAAAAAATAAATGATCTGTTCGTTGGTTTTTCTTTCTTTGTTGTTTTTTGTTGTATATTCACGATTGAATATCATTCTTCTTGATCGTTGAATTAATAGGATAGATAGAATGACTGTTTGGCATTGACTATGATCTCGATTATGGTAAAAATGTGCACGGAAATTCTACTGCTGTTCTGTTTTCCGCTGTTATTATTGTGAAGACCGAATACAGAAAACGATCTCGTGATTACGATAAAGATGAACACAGTTCTTTTACTATGTTCTACTGTTTCTGCTAACATTTTAGAGAGAGATAAAGAAAAGAAGAAAGAAAGAAGCTCATTTTCATCATGACAGAATAGCCTTGAGTGCTGTGTCTTTTCTCTTTCTTTTGGTTTATATTCAACAAAAAAAAAAAAAGAATCGCCAACGACAACTAGGGGTTGTGTTTTCCACAAATATAAAAATAAGGAAAAAAAGGAACCGCAAAAAAAACGAAGAAGAAAAGGGGTTATAGCAACAACGGATAAATAAAAATTCTCACACACATTTACTATAGGCTTGTGAAGAATAACATCAAATAGGGTTAGTGCCGTAGGAATAAAAGAGAAGAAAAAGAAGAAGAAACAACCAACAAATATAGAAGACATAGGTGACAACAACGAAATTGCTTCGTTTGAATTGCAGATAGATGTGAACAAAAGCAATAAATATTATACGTAGACTAGATCGATACATTTTTTTTCCAGAACAACAATATGGCTAGTAATGAAATCATGACAAATAAAAATTCGACATCTGATATTAAATGTATAATTCTTCAACAAACATTTACTGGAAAACGTGAACTTAAAGTAACAACAATACCAAAACCACCAGCACCAGCTGATGATGAAATATTAATAGCTGTCAAAGCTTGGTAAGATTCTTATTAAAAATTGAAGAAGTAAAAAAAAACTTACATTTTTTTTCAGTGGAGTTAGTTTTAATGATGTTCTTGCTCGTTATGGTCTGTTAGAGGACATTCCACGACCTCCATTCGTACCCGGTTTTGAATTTAGTGGTGAAGTACTTGATATTGGAACAAATGTTACTAATGTTGATGTAAGATTGAACTAAAGAAATATAAATATATATATTTTTTTTTTCTGAAATGAATTTTATTGTGTTTATATAGAGAGGTGATCGTGTTGTAGTACTTACACATTTTTCAGCTTGGTCTGAACAAATTGTTGTTAAAAAAGATTTAGTTTTTAAAATTCCAAAAGAAATGTCATTTAGAGAAGCAGCTGTATTTCCTGTTGCATATCTTACTGCATATATACTTCTATTTGAAATTGGTAATATTAAACCAAATCAAACATTATTATTTCATTCAGCTGGTGGGGGTGTTGGTGGTAAGATAATTATTATATTAATCTGTATATTTGAAATAAAGCAAAAAACAATTTTCTTCTTTTTCAAGTTGCATTAACTCAACTTTCAAAGCTTGTGCCTAATCTAACAATTATAGCAACTGCAAGTCCGCATAAGTTTGAGGTATTGCGTGCTCATATTCATTATTTATTCGATCACGATATGGACTATATAGAAGACGTCAAAAAGTATGAATTATTAGTTAGCATTTTACTTTGTTTGTATATATCATAATTGAAATTTTAGAATAGCTCCTGATGGTATTGATTTAGTTCTTGATTGTATGGCAGGTGATGATTGTGAACGTGGTCTTGCTTTACTTAAATTTAATGGAAAATATATCATGTATGGCACATCAAGTTTACTTAGTTGGAGTGTAAAAAATTTCTTTGGTCTTACAAAAGGAATGTCTAATGTATGTGCAATTATTGATTTTACTAATGAAGAAAAAACAAAAGAAGTGAAAAAATATTTTATTTTCGGTTTTTTTTGACATTTTTAGTGGTGGCAAAATGATAAAATAAGTTGTTTACGTTTATTTCAAGATAGCAAATCTGTACATGGTTTTAATTTAATTCAGTTACTTCTACGTGGTTCAAATGATACACGTAGTTATTTAGCTGATACAATGCATAAAATATTTCTTCTTTATAAAGAAGGAAAAATAAAACCAGTTGTAGATTCTGTATTTACATTTGAAGAAGTATATTTTCAACAAACAAATTCTATTTTATATTTCTTTATAAAATTTCTATTCATATTATTTACAGGTAAATAATGCTCTTGGAAAATTGATTGATCGTAAAAATATCGGTAAAGTAGTAATCGAACCATTTCTTCAATCAAAACCAGAAAAAGTTAAAAAAGTAAAATAAATTCTTTTACTGTGTTCTTTTTTTATTCGTTACATTTTATTTTAAGTCAAAAACAAATACAGCACAGGGACGTTCTGAAGATGCTCATTCAAGTTCAACATCAGGTCCTGATGATGATAATGATGACAAAGATCCGGATGATTTTCAAACAAATAATCCAGCATCTAATCCCTGAATATATCTTTTGTCTCTTAATCATCTATTTATGAAGTTAATGTTCATATTTTGCCTTAAATCTTCTTTTTTCGTTCTAAAAATAATTCCCCGGTACTCTTTAACCCTTCATACATATATTCTCTCTTTGTCTTGTTCAATGTCATTCTATATTGAATAATGCATTTCTGAAGATAAAAAAAAAAAACAAAATTCAAGAAAAGGAAATTTAGTGATGACATTTGTTTGAAGGAAGAAAAGTGAATTTTTCCATGTTAGATTAATTAGTTTTCTTTTCTTTTTTTTTTTTGCTTTCCAATATTTTTCTTTGATGATTGAAGGAAACTAAGAAAGAAAAGCATGAATTAAACTAAATCATCAACGAAAAAAAATTGAATATCAAATAAAAAAAAAAGAAAAATTTAGACACAAACAAAATTCCTAAAAAACAAAAGCATACTACTGTATATATGAAAAGAAAAGAAAAGAAAAACACTTGTGAATCGCATGTAATTATTGTAAGCTATTTGTTTTGTTCTATGAAGCAATTTGAATATTGTCTTTTTTGTCATCATCTGTTTTAAAAACATCCGATAATGGTGGAGGAGTACTTCTAGAAATAGAAATTCAAATAAATATATAAATAATTGAAGTTTTCATTAATTTAATGTCTGCACTTTCTTTTTTAAGAATTAAAAAAAAAGCTATTAAGTATACAGGAAATGACTTCGATCTAGCGAAAATTTTGCTTAATGTGTCATATAGAGATATTTTTTTTTCTCCGGAAGCAATTTTTAGATAAATAACTAGTATCATATTGTGATTTTACATTCAATGATTCCAAAAATTGATCATATAAATTTGATTGCGACTATTTTTCTACAATACTAACGAACATAAAGAACTCAAATAATGATTTAGATAAAGAAATTCGCTTTGAACAAATATTTGCCAGAAACAAATTTGTCGATATATTTTGCTAAAATTCAAGTTTTCAGTGCTCAGCACTCTTTTTTTTTGACGGAACTACTTCAATTTTAAGCAAACCGTAAAAGTCGTTCTTTTGTGATTTTCATATAAGATAAAGTGAACAGAAATAGTAATCTATGCCAATCAGCTGAGTCGCTGCTGTTATCTATAATAGTATCTGAAGTTTCCGATGAATCCTATCGTTGCTATCAATCAGTGCATCGGCTTTCACCTCTAAACAAAAACGACTTGTTTTTGCTTGTCTTAAAATAGACGCAATTCAGTGAAAAATTGTTTTAGAAAGCTCTTAGACATCTCATTTTTTTTTAGTTACACTATTACGTTGTGTAATCAGAAAAAACTTTTATTCCGCGTTTCTGAGTATTGAACAGCTAGGTTATCTAGAAATGCTAGGTTTGGAGAATACTCAGATTTTCATTTTCATCAGATATTTATTGTAAATGACCTTTTATCTATGTAAATCATCATTCAGTTTCTTTATGTCAGTTATCATGATGGTAATATAGTCAAGATTAAATCTGTATGATTCATTTTTGGAGCTACTGTACATATTTTCTTATACTTATTGTCAGATTTTGTAGATATTTGAAATGAACTTCATTAAAAAAAAATTTGAAGTTCCTAATGAGAATTTCTTATTCACTCTTTTTGTTTATATATTCAAAATTTACTTCTCGTTCACTAATATTACTTTGAATCTTTTCGTTGAATATAATGTTTGATTCTTTAAATTTAAGAATTCATTAATAGAAAAACAAAATAAATACATATTAAGAAGATATCTATCAATATTCAAAGACCAACTTCTCTCATCTTGAGTTGATATTGATTATTATAATTAAAATTTTAAGTTCCAATGAGAGAATTTGTTTAACAAACTATCTTTGTTTTTATCTATTAAAAGTTGAAAAGAAAAGATGACCTTGTGTGGCATATATGCAGAGTTGCATCTTTACTATGATCGAATTTGAAACCACTAATCAAATAATGTCAATTTTCTTTAATTTCAAGACATTATTGAATTAGATAAAGAAGATTCTTTTATTAGAAGTCATCAAATAGAATTGCATTGTTTGTTAAAGAATAATAACGTTTATGTTCGTTGGAAGTTTCATACTTATTCAAGAAAATAAAAACGTTCCACAAGGACAAAATACATCGTTTGATTTGTTATTTCTAAATTGTATGTAAACATCTGTGAAAGATTCTAGATCTGCGATTATGTCCAGAAGTATTTTTTACTCATTTATTTTCATAATTTTTATTCGAAAAAGTTTCTACAAAAAATCAAAACAATTCGAAGGATTTAGAAAGAGTCTTTTTAGAGTCTTAAAACATTAATAGTAATTCTGAACACACTATTTACAGCTGAAAAATGCTAATTTATATTCCAACTTCTATTACATTTGCGCATCTTTCCTCTAACAGAAATCCTTTATTGTAGAAAGAAATTTATAACAAAAGCTCATCATTTTTTTTTTGAATAACCAAATATGAGAAGTCCTTAATGTTTGAAAACAGTTACCATCTAGTTATTAGCTAAAAACCTATCAATTATAATCTTTACTAGGAAAAACATGCATCATGATAGAATATATTTTTATATCATACAAGGACTCTTGAGAATGTATTTCTCGAAAAAAAACCAGATCGTGCATTTATAATTAATTAAGATTGGTCATGAAATTTTTAGTACGATCTTCTACATATACATAATCAAATCATTTATAAAAACAACTATCAATAAGGTTTGTAGAAATTTCTTACTGAAGACTATTCTATGTTAAGACATTTTGATTTAATAATGTGTTAGGAAGCCACAAACATAAAAAAAGAGCCTAAATATTTGCTTTTATATTTAGCAGTTGTTCTTATTCTTTTTTCAATGAACTTGTCATACGAGGGGAGGCCGTCAAGTGTGAGTTTCCGTTGTCAATCAATTATTTGTCAATTTGTAGAACTCAATGGACTGATCACAATGACATAAAGCGTTCCTCCCCATTGAGCGTCTTTGAAAGACTAGGTCAATGTCAACTTCAGAAAAATGAATAATCTTTTATTGATGACATACTTTAGCAATAGATAAGTCTTAATTAACTGTATACACCTACATAAACAACATAAATAGAACACTAGAACTTTGTTTATACTTAAAATATTTCGATACTATTAATGTTACCGGAGTATGAATTCAACTGTTTCTTTTTTGTTTTTGTAAAACACAAGGCAAAAAAGCTTGTTTTTTGGAAACAAATTCTTCGATGAAAAATGTCTGAAGACGACTTCTGTCCTCAGCTTTTCGAGAAAATTTTTGTTGCATTATATTTCATTCGACGCAATATAAATGCGCTGATTCCGAATATACCATTTTTGTTGATTAAATATTTTTCTAAAGCCAGAAAAGTCTAGAGATTTTGGAAATCCACTGTGCAGTCTAGATGCAGAAAATGTACTTGATATGTCTGTCGGGCAGTTTAATTCCGTCACATAACAATTTTTCTGGTGACATAATGAGTTTTAGGATCATTTTTGGACAATTGATTTTTCAGTTTTTTTGAAGGTCAAATTTTCATTTTTAGTCCAGTACTCGCCTAGATGCACACTTTGCCTTCTCTCCATTGATTAAGACAAATGTTGTTGGTAAACGATCAAAGATTGTACATCAATATTGTCTCATTATAATATATGAACTATTTCTTGATTGCATTTCTGTAAGATAAACTAAAAGAATGATGAAGAGATGTATCCCAAAATAGATTGAATAAAATTATTTTTCTGTGGTTGACAACAGCAGTTACATCATGTTCCATATTTTAATTCCGCAGGAATTATGCTAACAGCCTCTCAAGCTTAATGAAGATTCTCAGGGAAATTTTTTTCAGAGTTGTAGTAATTAAAGTCTTGTCATATATCTCAGTTTGAATAGTTTGTATTCTATTCAATTATTCTGTCGTATGTCGATATGAAAAACTATAGTTGATAAGCGGGTAATGAAATTATGGTCAAGATCTATTTTAAACTCATGCCATTATTAGATGAATATACAATACAGATTAGATGAATTTAACAAAAAAAAATAGTTCACTTCTATAGTCTGATAATGTTAAAATATTCAAAGTATGGTCGTAATTAGAACTTTTATTTATGTTGACTGTGTAAACGTATTAATATTTTCGAAATAATAATTTTTATTTATTTTTCTGAAGTTGAGATCGGTCTAGTTTCTCAAAAACATTCAATAGGGAAGAAGTATTCCTCGTGTCATCATGATTAAATGATTGAGTTCTGCAAACTAGCATAAAACCGATCTAAAATCGAGAGTGCTGGCAGCTTATCACATGTCTAGCATTGAATCAATAAAATATCATCAAAATTCATCTATTGTGATAATTAACTGAAAAATTATTTTTCTCATTAATTAAGTTTAGTTACTTTTTTACTTTTAGTAAACTAAGGAAAACAAATATAAATATAGTGAAAACTTATGTGATTAATTTGAAATAAAACTATTCGTTTAACTTACAATTCAGCAACATCAATTGGTTCCCAATCATTCTCATTTCCACCTGTATTTTTTCGATAACATAAATATAGAAGTGCAGGAGAATATGCTTTAGCTGCAGCACCTGTTAATCCACAATCAACAAGTGTTTGATTATCGTCATCCATTGCTTGTTTAGTTGAATCAACTATTAAACGTATATTATTGGGTAATACTTTTGTAATACCTTCAATCATTTTTTTTAATTCCAGAACTGTCGAAGTTTCTTTAGTATCAATAAAAAGTGTTAATTTTTGTCGACGAATCATCATAAATACATCCATTGTAAAAGAAAATATATGAGTATCAAATGTAGTAAATAAACAAAGTACTGCTCTTTTTCTTCACTAAAAGAAAAACTCTTGAATAAATAACTACATTCAATGGGGTCAAACCAATCAGATTAGATTATCATTCCTCTGCTAAATGTCAAAAGCTAAACTGAAACTATGTACCAGATGTCACTATTAATTGACATGTTTTTCAACGTCGATTTCATTTTTTTAACAATACGAAATATCATCACTTTATCAACAAATCACATCTCGTTTTTGTTCATTGCACTGACGAAATGATAACATAGATATTTACACTAGTATAAAGTGCGTAAACAGTCGATGTTTGTATTCGTTTGAAGGTAATATATATAAAAAAATATAATTAGTTCAGGTAAAAGGTGAGACACTGATTCGTTTTTAATGTTGTCTATTTAGAGGTTTGTATAATTACGAAGTGGATATTTAAAATATGCCTAAATATGATTTTATAATTTCACGTGCGGTTGACATTGTCGCTCGGAAATTGGCTGGTATGAATCCCGAAATAATAGCTCGATTCACAAAGATTTTAAGTGAAGAAGCTCGAATGATTTATAAAGAACTTCAATATAGTGGTCAAAATGTTAATCCAGATATTTTAGCTGCAAAACTAGAAGGTGCTCTAAAACGAATGAAATATGAACTTCGTAATAAGGTTTTATATCTATATTCATAATTATAAACTTATACAATATTTTTCTTCTTTCTTTTATCTATATAGGGACCTGACTTATCACCACATGAATTTCCTATATTCAATGTATCAAATAATCCAAATGCAGCTTATTCTAAACCAATCAATCATCTATATAATAAACATGACAGAAAAACCTATCCAAATTTTGTTAAACCAAGCCAACAACCATTTTCAACATCACAACAAAACTATGAATTAATACAAACAACAAATCCAAATCCGTCATCATATCTACCTTATCAACAACAACCAATTATAGATTGGTATTCTTTAGATCCATCTACAACATATTCTGAAAAACCAATAATATCAATTGATAAATCATCAACTATATATCGTCCATCAACAGGTGATGATATACGCTCACGTTCATTATCACGTTCAAGTAGTGATAGTGAAATGAATTATACAGTATATTCGAATTCTCAAATTCATAAAAATTCACAAGAAACAAATTATAAATCTGATAATAATAAGAAAAAACTAATAACAACAAAACGAATATATGCTTCACCAACTACTGTTATAGGTTCTGAAACAATCGAAGATTTATTTCAAGTTATGAATAGTAAAGAATCTACACCTTCAGAATCAACGTCAACAACTAAACGTGTTATTATTATCGATCGATATGATCCAAATTCATCAAAGAAATATCGATCGAAACACAAAAAAGAATTATTGAATACATCAGCACCAAAAATAACTACTACTATTTCAACTAAACCTTCTACAGAATATATAATACAACAACCGACTTATTACACTGCACAACAACCAATTATGTATACGTCGATGCCAAATAATATTTATTCAACTAGACCATCGTATGTTACTAATACGACTGCATATTATCCATTTGTATACTATCGATAAATATTAAATGAAAAAATTGAAACAATGTACTTGATCATTTTGTAGATTTTTTTAATATTAAAAAATCTATTTTATATTCTATTAGTTGTTTCTTACTAATAGCATGCATTTCTTTGTCTTTTTCTATTGAAGATTATTTATTCAAAATAAATTTTTAGATCAGAAAAAACTAAATATTATATCCATAGGCAGAGTTCTGATTGAGAAATTTAAAAAATGAGTAGCATATGGTATAATGAAAAAATACACTTTTTTTTGTAGTCTTCGGCAATGTTTACAATAGTTACCAAAAACCATGCTATTGGGTAAAAAGTACCTAAATTTAAATCATGTTGCCTGATATCTTTATTACAAGTAGAGCATAATAAACCTTGACCACAAGTGCCAACCCCAGGTTGAATGACCTTAATGCATTGAATGTCGCATGAAGGTACTCTTTTTTTTCTTTTGACATTTAAAAAACGTTTTTTTGACACTTCTTTGGATTGATATTGTTCTGTAGCATTAATATTCAACCTTTTATTGGCATATAAAGCTTCACTTGGCTTTACTATGTAATAGACAGAAGACTTCAATCTTCTATGATTCTGAGACTTAATAATATCTCCATTATCTAGAATGCTACACTAATTGTTATAATTATTCAATTTTCAGTGTATACTTGATTAAAGTAGAGAACTCACGGGAGAATATTTACTTGCATACAATTTCATCAACTGAACATTTGCATGAAATTTTTGTCGTTAATATAGACAGTACTAAACTCTCTTATCAAGGGTTGTGTAGTTTGTTGCTAAAGATGTACAGGACAAACATTTTTCGTACTCGATACTGTATCTGAGAAAAATTTTCTAACACTTTGTACGTCTTTATTTGTTGCTAATGCTGAAAAATCTTAATATGAATAAAAAAAATCTATGTTGGTCTTCTAACTCATTCGTATGATGATTGATCAAACTGTGGTGACTGTTTACGATAATGGTTTGTCGCACTATATTTGTCGGCAAAATATGAGAGCGAAGAATTCTCGAATAGATTATTTGGTAGCAAGGTATTTGATGGCTACAGTAAATTGTAAAGAAAAGCATTATCAATCGGTTACACATTCTCTAAACATTTATCTTAATAAAAGTAATCAAATTGTTAGAAAAAGTTACGTTGCCGGTACGATCTTCAGAAAAACTTGTTTTTTTTTACATACATACAATAAAAAATAGTGATTCAATTTTAAAAGACAAAGCTCTTCAATCATCCATAAACAACCATTTAATCTGTAAAAAGTATTCGTTCATTTCATGCATATAAAAGAATGTAAGATGGAATATTTCAATCTTTGTTTTTAACAAAGAAAAAGCAAAGTACTTCATGATACATTTTATATATTCTGTTTCCGAAATATGTCTCGAAATACCTTCCATAGAAATAGCAAATCTTACAAGAAAATAATATGTTTTCATATTAATGCTATCTCGGCGAATTCTCGATCATGTCTTATGAATAGAATCAACCTGCAATCAATAGCCTACAATAACAAATTAAGATATGATTTCAACTGATATTCGTTTTTGTTCAAAAGAGTTTCTGTTGTCTTTTTTTATTTTATTAATAAAATAAATGATATTTGATATTAAAAAACTAAATAATTAAAAATTTACTTAGTTAGAAAAAAAAGTCATTTTAACAATTATAAATTTGATTTTTCGATTAGATGTCGTTAATGTGCAACAATATTATAAATAACTTCTTTTCTTTTGGCTTAAACTTTCGACCATAGTCTCGTAGACATACATCCAAAATGTATATTATGGAAAAAATCTCTTATTCTATCTGTATAAATTATTTTATTGTCTACAGCAACAATGAGCAATGGCGATGCTCAAGGTAAATATTTTGTTTTTACATTGTTTCAATTAAATTTCGATGTTTTTTTTTAAGGTGAAATCGTCAAATTACAACAACATCTTGTTCTTCTTCGTGAAGAATATGTTAAACTTCAACAACGATATAAAACATTAGAAAAAAATTATAATATTCTTAATGTCACAACAAAAATTGATCAAGATTCATTTGTATGTCGTTTACTTAAAACAATAGCTGATCTATTTAATCGTGAACTTTACAGGTAAATATAATACAAAAAGAAAAAACAAATCATTAAGTTTTTATTTTTTATTTGTTTTTTTCTATAGTGATATTTCAATTAAACTTGATGGAGAAACTTTATATGGACATCGATTTATTTTAGCAGCACGTAGTCTTAAATGGGATTCACAAGAATTAGATGATATCAGTGAACTTGATTTATCAGGTTGAGATTTTAGTTTTAAATAAAAAGCAAAAAATAGACACGCAAAGTTCGTTTTAGACATTCCATATGATGTTGGATTTCAATTAATAAAATGGGTTTATACAGATGAAATTGTTGAAAAACAAAATGAAGATTTTTTATTAACTTTAATGAAAATAGCAAAACGATTTGAATTAAAAGAATTAATTGATCAGTTTGTATACATTTTAAAACTGGGCAACTGAATTCAATTCAACTCATGATTTGACTGAAAAGAAGTTTTTCCAAAAAATTGATGGAATATTCATAATGAATGTGTTGAACTCAAGGTTTTCTGACATCCGTCTGTCATAGAAAAATTTTATTACCACGAGTAAAGCCAAAACAAAGAGTTTCAATCTCAAATTTTGCTGATAGGCACGTTTTTATACACATACTGGTAGCAGAGCATCCGAAAAAGAATTCTGCTGATAACTGAGCCAGTATACGAGTATCTTGGAATTAGTGTATTACACTAAAGTCTATATTTGGTTTTTATGTTCGCATAATATTATCATTAAACATATTTAGCTTATCTATCTATGTTCTTGATGTATCTCCGGATATTACGTATAAGCCAATCTATTGAATTGTCCCCTCCGCAATACAAAAATAAATATTTGATCTTTTAAAATTTCCGACATTCCCACTAAGTTTTTTTGAAATGATACCGTTTAATTTCTTATCAATAGTTAATTCATGAGTTAGGTTGAGTTGTCCAGCTCTGATACATTGAAATTTTCAGCATAAAAATATTCATTGTTTTTCTTTTTTTGTACATAGATGTGAAGTTGCATTAATATCAGCTGTGAATGTTCGTAATTGTTTAAAATTTTATAAAATAGCTGAAGAAATTAATGCATCTGTTTTACAAACACATTGTAGTCAATTAATTAGTACGCATTGGGTAGAAGATTTTAATTAATGTTTTTTTTAGTTGTTTGTAAAATTTCAATTTAGACGGATTTTATAAGTGAAGATTTTCAATATTTACCTGCACCAATGACATATAAATTATTTAAAGAAAAAACAAAATATTCACTTCATCAGGCTATACGAATGAAACGTGAAGATGTTCTTTTTCTTTATTTAATTGATAACGATGAGGATGTAAGCAAAAAAAGAAAACGAAACAAATATTGAATTTTTTTGTGTAGTTAGAGGAACGTCTTAATGAACTCGATGATCAAAATGAATTAGCACTTGAATTAGCATTAAAAACCAAACAAGATAGTATGGCAGAAAATCTTGTTCGTCATAAAGCAGATATTAATCATATTGATGATAAAAATCAAACATTACTTCATTTAGCTATTCAACGAGGTTAAATTTTATAAATGATTTTTATTTAAATGTTTTTTTTTATCAAAAACATTTTCTAGGTGATGAACATTCCGCTACTTTTCTTATTAAACATTCATGTTTACTTGATCATCAAACAAATATTTTACATGAAACACCATTACATTTACTTAGTAGTCTTAATCCAATTGAAACTTCATCAGATATTATGTCTGGTATATGTCGTGTTGCACAATTAGTACTGGAATATGGAGCTGATACAAATAAAAAAGATTCACAAGGAAATACATGTCTTCATCGAGCTATACTAGCGAATAATATGGATATTTTTCAAGAATTATTAAAATCACCAACTATATCATTAGATGAAAGAAATATTGATGATCATGTACCACTTTGGCTTGCTCTTCAACAAGCTGAACAAAACCGTAAGTTAATAGTTGAAATGAGAATGTTCAATCATATTAGGCTATGGGGGGCAAGTGTCTGTGGAAATCTTAGTCAGCATACGATCAAATGAGTAATCTGAGATACATGCAGAAAAATGTAGTCACTTAGTCATAATGGTCTGATATTCACAAGAGAAATATTTCAACTGATAAATCGCTATCGAGTCAAGATTGTGTTAACTATGTAGATATCAATGAGCGATGAAGTCTCTGAAGAAAGGTCGTCTCGTTAGTTTATGACTTAGTTCTAAACGAAAATAGTTGTTTCCACTGACATGCTACTATTATTTATGATATTGACCTAATAGTTTCAATGCAAATATATGAGAATAAATTCTGATCACAAGCACCAACTGGTCTTCCATTATTTTGTATATTCTGAAGTTATGATTCATACGTCAGCTTCCTCTTATCTAGCACATGAAAGCAATTTCACATACCTGCAGTATTGTCATCAAAACCCGTATCATATAGGTTTGTGTTTTAATAGATGTTCTGCATGAGAGAATCATATCTCAGTCACTTTAAAATGATTTTTAACAAAATTCGCACTGGGAATAGTTGCGACTTTGAACTTTCAACTGAAAGTTTGAACAAAAGTATATGTGAACTGACAAATGGCAAGTTAGTACTTGCTATGAGAGTTGATTATTGAATACATGCACCGAAAATATCAGCTCAATATCATAAAGAATAGTAGTACATCAGGCGAAGAAGTTATCAATTACTTTTGTCGAGGACTATCTTTCACGTTTGTACGGAACCCACGACACTCATATTTCTTTTTAACTTATTTGATATTAAACTAGTTCTATAATTCATTTTAAGAAAGTCTTAATTTATTCTTTCTTTATATCGAATAGAAAAAAAAAATGTATACGTTTAGATTTAGATTTTCATAATAAAACATTTGCTAGTTTACT